GTTGCCTTTGACGTGAGAGCAAGTGGTAAAATTGTTTGTTGCAGAGAGAAACACAAATGAGGTCGGGCGGGAGCAGGTAGTTTGATATTGACAATATCAACTTCGAGGGTAGAGAGTCTAAAGTGAGATGGAGCTTTCTGTCGTAAAGAGATGACATTTTTCAGATATTTGGGAAATGAATGAGTATGAAGTGAGAAAGAGGGAAGAATCAGAGAGGGAGAAGGGATGAGTGTGCATCCATGGATTGACTACACTCGCGAGTCGAACCTTAACGTGCCTGCCGCGACTAAATTAGGAAAGCTGAAATCTACTAGTACTAGCATGATAGAACAGGGAAGGTACTACTTCCAGTGTTACACATTATGGGCGGGTATCTTAATCTCTTCAAGTTGCTTTTTCATATACCCTACCTAGGTAAAAGCACGCCAACTAAGCCCTCGGCTACCTATTCAACAGCACAATAGCCTAATTATGCTCCGAGTCCCTCTACTGCTATATCAAGAAAGGAGGCTGACTAGTGCTAGCTATTGTAATATTGAGCTTAGATGATTAAGAAATAATGCCTGAAAATTCTTGTATTGGATTAGACAGAATAGAGATATATCAGGGTTTATTATTTCAAAACAAGGAAACTGGACTAGTAGACACCCTTGGAAGATGCTTGTAAAGGGACTAAGGTATCAGCTAGAGACTGATTGGTCAGGTAAGGTCAAAGGACTAAGCCTAGTATTCGATGGTAATACAGAGACTGATTCTTGACAAGATCGCAAAGAATCAGAGACTCATCGCCTACTTATATTAAGACAAAGGTCCGCCTATCGGAGAGGAATATAACGCGAATTGAATACGATTCCATTCCGACATCCCTTCGTTACATCCTTTGTTCGACCGGAATACTGCTCGCGACGTCCGTCTCCAGGTCATTATGACGAGAGGTGCTTTACGATGCATGTCGGCGGGTCATTCTGACGACAAGAGGGGGATTCGGCTGCGAATCGGCACCGACCCTAGATCGTAGGATCTATATCAGGTGACAGGGGAATATCCCGTGACAATGCTCGAGTATTTAAGGCAGTAGCACTAGATTTATCCTACAATGATGCTACTAGATAGTACGACTACTACTACTAGTAGTAGTAGTAGTAGTAGTAGTAGTAGTAGTAGTAGTAGTAGTAGTAGTAGTAGTAGTAGTAGTAGTAGTAGTAGTAGTAGTAGTATATGTCACGTTGTTAGGAATCCGCGGTCCGGTGTTTCCTTAGTCTAGTTCAAGTCCTACTAGTACCTAGGTATCTACCCTCTTTCCAGGTTTCTACTATATTGGTAATATATTAGTAAGTCAGAGTCCTGTCTGCTAATCCGTAATTCTCGTAGTATCTAAAGACGAGAGCCATCAAAGAAATAATCCTGCCTAGGTACTATAGGAGAGAAATTTTATCTAGCCTGGGCCAGGTGGCCTGACTGCCGCTCTCACAGAAATATAAGCGATGATCTAGGTATCGGATCGGGGAAATAGGGTGGCGGTGTTGGCAGCAATTTTAATCAATAGCAAAAATCTCTCAGCCACAAAGAGCCGAAGAAAAGAGACCGTAGCTGTAGAATCGATTGGTGAAGAGGGTAGTGATGCATACGCGCCAGGTAGGCATAGTATATGACATCGAAGCAGATTCATGTAGCCAAAAGATGATAATATTTCATCAACTAATCCGATATGGTGTAATAGGAGATGACGGTGGAATGATCACGTTTCGGCGTGGATTTGAGTCCACAAAATCGTGGTCTTTTCACCTAGATATCGTAGCGACGTAGCCAAAGAAAAAAGAAACAATCTCCAGCCTTGGCGCTAAGTGGCTTGGAAACAACCACTCAAAAACATCCAAAAACACATTACCTAAATAATTAAATTAATATTCAAGATCAATCATGAAGCAATAACCATAGCAACATAGAAAAAACACAAGAATAGTACAAGTGGAAAGGGGAAAGAAACCTGATCCGTGAACCACTCACTGAGACAGTAATCACAAGAAATTGATAATTCCGATGGAATCACCCGAATCTCTTTAAAATAATTACTATATAGAATTAGAACGTAAGACAAGAACTCAAGATAAGAACGTAGAGACCAGGCCACACCACCAACTCTTCAACGGCTGTTCGAAAATTGCATGTCCCACCCCCACTCGGCAATCTTCTGTAGCCATTCATTGTCAATGATCACGTCGCTTTCTTGTGATGTTTGGGGATCTCGTAGGAAGAGGAGACGAAAAGGGATGACGAGGGGACCTCCAGAAAGTTTTACTTCGTCATTTTCGTTTTCAGACACCTCAATGTGTTGGGAATTGATAGATTTGCCGTTAACGGTATCCCATATCCATAAGTCAATAGCGATCATTGCTCGCTGGCGACTGAGTTTGATTGCAATCACCACATTTGCATTCCCTCGCACTGGGTCAAGCCAAAGGTCAACATCTCGTCGAAGTTTCTTTCGCGTTTCGGATACCGCAACTTCCAACACAACCGAGGGCCGCTTTGGACAGCCGCGAGGAGGTCGCCTTGGCCCCCAGCCCATATCTGCCTGTTTTTGGCGGCCATTTACATCGATATCGACCCCTTGGTAGTCGTGTATGGCTTCGTCAAGTCCCATTCGTGCCAGGGCCTTATCGATGGCTCTGTGCACCGCGAAGGCAATTTGGGTATGCTCGCGAGTAACCATCTTGACAGTGAGTGTTTTGGTATTCGGGTTGAAAGATGTTCGGATTGAAGGAATTGGGATAGTATCCGAGCTGAGGAAATCCTGGTTGAAGGTAGTGGGATCAATGGAGAAGATGATGTATTCTGTGATCTCAGTAGTTGGCTCTTGTTCGCTCCTGCCAGATCCAGTATCGATGTCGGAAATTTCACGAGAATAGCGCATTGAATCGAGCAGACGTTCACGTTCGAGGGTAAGTATTTGAGCAAATTGATCTTTGTCTTTATAGCCGTACCGTCTAACAGATAGAGGCAGACCCTCTGAATCATGATCTTGCTCATTTTGATAAATATGGGACATTTTACATGATATCTTGATTCCCAGAGAATGTGTCAAGATAAATCCCAGAAATTTGCCTTTAAATAAATTCCTTGAACTTTGATTCTCTTCTTAGCGCAGTTTAAGCACTTTATATAATATTGCGGGACATTCAAGTTTCATCTTTCCACGTTTCTCTTATAGATCGCTAAGAAAAATAGCTGTAATAGTGACGGAATAAAATCAATCGACGTTAATTTAGCGGACCCGAACCAGAATATAGATCTTAGTTTTCTAAGGAACCCTAGAGAATTACTAAATGTCAACTTTGTGGTGACTATAACCCTAATTACCTATTCTGAAGGAATCTATTCTAGTTACGGTCCAGATCCAAGATAGGTCATATGATGTCAGGGTGCTGCTGCGATAGGCACGCTCAAGAGCAGTAGAATCTGAATACAAACCCAGCGAGTTAAACAGGAGCAAGAAGCACCAAGTGTAATTGGTTTAGGCATCATGTGGCCTTCGTATAACAGTATCCGATATTTACTAAAATTCATCATCACATGTTTTATACCAAACACTCCGAATCTTAAGTAAGGTTTGCAGATTTGGACTTAGCCCACGGTTAGAAAATAGATTGTATAAGGCATAGGAAGCCGATAAAAGACTTATAATTGACCGATGAATGGCCAGTCGGACGAATTCGTAAGCCTGATTTGGTACCAGGGCCTTGGAGAAAGGCCAAGGACAAAAAATGAAGATGGGGGCGGGCGGCAAAGCTCAGGAGCTCGGTGATCCGAATTAATAGCAAAAATTCCTCACGCTTAAAGGGTTGTAGATACGTGGAAAGAAGAAGCATAAATCATAAAAAGGGAAGGTGATGCTGTGGTAAAGTTGGAGTGAAAATTAGTCATACCACCTTCAGCGGTCTATCCCCTCGTCCGTCCCGGGAAGGACAATTAGCGCATTTCAACTAGTGTATTATATCAACCAATTAAGTAGTAGACCAAGATAGGCTACGTGTCATTGGATAGAAAAGCTCCACTATCTGCTAAGTCATCAACGCGTGTCTCTCTCAGCGTGTCTCTCGCTCTCAACGTGTTTCTACCCTCACTGAGAAACCCCTAATCTACCATCCAATATACTATCTATTTAGCTATAATTAGTTATGGCTAAGAAAAAATCTACTGTAGCTACGCAGAAGCGTAAGTTTGACGAGATTATCGCTGAATTACCTACTAAAGAAGAACTCTCTCAGCGACTTTGGCCCTTACTCCCTATCTCTCAACCTCCGCGGCTACAACTACCAAATAGCCTTGATTTAGAGAGCCCATACACAATCTTTACACTCTTTATTAGTGAAGAGATCTTTGAATTCATTAGTCAGTCAACCAACCAATATGCACAGTAAAAGATAGTAGAAGATTCTACTACTGGCCGTTTATGGAAGGAAACTACTGCTGTAGAGATTAAGGTCTTCTTTGGTATCCTTATCTATATGGGTGTTCATAAATCACTATGTATTGATTCCTATTGGTGTCGAAATAGACAAGAGGGGCCTTTACATTCTCCTCCACTTTTTATAACACTAAAGTGCTTTGAGTAGATTAAGCGCTATCTACATATATCTCGGCCAAATAGAGAGCAAGATAATTTCAAGCAGTGGTGGTATAAAGTTGAGCTATTAACTTCCTCATTCGATAAGACTAGCCAACAGTACTACCAACCAGGATCAAATATCTCTATTGACGAAACGATGATTCGCTGCTTTGGGCGTACAAAGTATACTGTAAAGATGCTAAGTAAGTCAATTGAGTAAGGATATAAGATCTTTGTCCTTACAGAGCATGGCTATATCTGGACATTTAACTGGACTAGCCGCTTATGGGGGATTGCAGATCTATTCAAATATGATAGTCTTAGCCCTACTGCGTCGATGGTACTAAAGATGATTAAAAAGCTTCCTAGGCTATCTGATTCGATAGCCAATATGCCTACCAATACTATGGCCAATATGCCTGCTAACACCATGGCCAATATGCCTACCAATACTATGGCCAATATGCCTGCCAATACTATGGCCAATATGCCTACCAATACCATGGCCAATATGCCTGCCAATACTGTGGCCAATATGCCTGCCAACACCATGGCCAATATGCCTGCCAATACTGTGGCCAATATGCCTGCCAACACCATGGCCAATATGCCTACCAATACCATAGCTAATATGCCTGCCAAAGCACCCTATGTTGTCTATATGGATAATTACTTTACCTCAGTTACTCTTTTCAAAGAGCTGAGAGATCTACAATGTAGAGTATGTGGTACTACACGCCCTCAGAAGGGGATACCCTCTCAGCTTGTTGAGCTAAAGGATTATATTAAAACTATTCTATAGGGTACTTTATATGCATCTGAAGCTCAGGGTATACTATGCCTTGCTTGGCAGGATAATAATATAGTATTACTACTATCTAGTATCTATTTGCCAGAGCTATTTACTCCTACTAAGCGGAAACGGCCATCAGCAACCTCTACCAACGCAGCTATTACGTGTACCCTTTTTGATGATGAGGCTATTAAGAAGCTATTAATCCCTACTACAATTGATAACTATAACCACTTTATGGGTGGGGTAGATATTGCAAATCAGTATAGGGCTTCTTATGAGATTCATCGAAAAAGTGAGCGTAATTAGTTCTCTCTACTCTTCTTCCTTCTTGATGCTGCTATTGTTAATGCCTACCGTATTCAATATCTCTATAAGAAGGAACAGGGGACTAGTGAGCTACCTGATCAGCTAGGTTTCCGCCAGAAGCTTTACCAGGAACTTTTTGCTTTTGCATCTCAACTATCGCCAATACCAACAGCAGTACCTGGTACAAACCACCAGCGAATTCAATTTGATAAGCGTAAAGCTTGTGTTTGGTGTCAGTATAAGAGGCAGAAGGGCAAAAGAGGTGAACAGACTAATCGGACAAGATCTGGTTGCCTAGATTGTGGTAATTTGGCACTATGTGTGAAAGGAGCTTGTTGGGATGAATTCCATAGCTTACCGAATTAGGCCTAATTAATAAATTGATTCAGGTTACCGAGGTGTTACCGCTATTAGCCAATTAGCACGCGTTGTTATAATACACTAGTACACTGCGCTAATTGTCCTTCCCGGGACGGACGAGGGGATAATGATAAATCTTACATAAGTATCCGATATGGTGTAAGTCGGGGTGATGGCGGATAGACCGCGGCTGAGCGTGGTATTTGAGGATCGAGTCGTGGTGTTTTCGTATAGTTGGACTAATGTGGTTGATACTAGGTTGAGAAGGAGCCTCAGAGGCGTGGGTAATTGCAATTGCCAAGGAATCCAGAACTTCAACCTGGAAGTTTGCCTTATAGTTTACAGCCCGCCTACCCACCCTAAGTGACGTGAAGCCAAGGCAGCGCTCTTCTATAGCCTTCCATATTAAACACTTACAGGATTTCTTACCGTTCAAAAGCCACGCGCAGCAGCTGAGATGCTGATTAAGTGACGACGCAGAGGTTAGACGGCAGCTTTAGAACACAATTTTTACTGACGATTTTGATACCTAAATGCCCGGATTTAGCCTAGATTCAAACCGCTGGCTAGAACACACTATGTCTTGTGGGATAAAATTTCCCAAATATAAGTGAGATAATAAGGAGATCTGAGAGATGTGAGATACGTGAGCGTTATCCACAGGATTCTGTTTTAAACCTGTCGCCTATAACACTTCACATATATAGGAACAGTCTAGTCCTTACTATGAATATTACCTATTAACTAGATCATCTTTTTTTTAACTTCAAGTGATAAGATGGAACTAGATCAAACAAGAGTAGTAATGATTTTGTCTTGGGATTACTAGCTGCCTCAAATTGGATTGACTATAGTACGCAATATAATCGACGCGGCGGCTCTCAACTAGGCTGATCATGTATTCTGTAAGGAATTTTGTTTGCCGCGGTGCTAAATGTTTTGGATGGACGCCGTAAATAGAATACCACAAGTTACTTTAGTCTATACAGACAGACGGCAATGGCGATTCATTAGCCATCAAATAATCCACATTATCTTCTTTGGCGGTTTCCAAACATTTGAAACAAACTTTACCCGCTCCAAACAACCCAATACTATGTCCTTGACCTCTTTGCGAAAGGATGCTAACGGCTGCGAGGCGTGCGGCCCAATTGCCATGAGCACGGAATATTCCCACGCCTTCTGGGGTATCGAGCAGCTCATCCCAGTTGTCGATAGAGGTATAGTCATACTCTAGATCATGATCCTCGCCTTCATGTTGGTCGCATTCCTTGATTATGCGAGATAACACTTGGAAGTCAATACGAAGTAGGTCCAGGTCTGCAACCCACTTCCCCCGTCCAGGACGGAGATGACAGCTTCCACAACAACAACGCCTTGGTCGATCGTTCGATTGCCACCGGCTTCTAGAGGAAACCGCCAGTCTGTGAAAGAAAGATGTAAGGATGTCTCACCAAAATTGTTCTCGCGTTGGAAGTCGTATGGACCGTGTGATATCGCGGTGTGCTCATTGCTCGGTGGGCGCATTCTTGGCTCCTCTGGCGCAACAAGCAAACTGATCCCCGGATGACCGATATTTCCCACAATGCGCCGCAGCTCGTGTGCTTCTGACTGTTCGAATGGATCGATCAAGACTATGGCAGCAACGTACATTGAATCCTCTGAGCACAGAGCTAAAACTGAATCTAGATCATCTGGATCTAATTCAACGTGTCCAGAATCAAACCTGGCCACGCAGGAAAATGCCTGCTGGCGGGTCAATGGCACCGTCAAACGAGATGGAATCTTGAGGTTTGTTGGGTTTGTGTGTTGTTTGTCGAGTTCCAACCGTTCACAAATTGGGTTAGGCACCCATTCACTCTGAAAAAGGGGCTTCGACAAACATGCTTCAAGAGAAATCGTCGCATTTTTCAAGTGGTCGTATACACTCGAGGCAAGCTCGATAGTGAAAAGAGTCTTACAAAACTCAATTGGCAGCGATGGGTGTCCTGTGGAGAACATTCCTGGTGTGTTTTGCTCAAACCATCTGTCACGCGCGCTGAATTCCGTGACATTTTGATAGTCATCGTCATCCACCCCCCCCTTGTGACAAATCCAAGATAATCGGATAGAATCTCTGGGTTCAAACAGTAATCTTCCACGCGACCCTCGGGGGGTATCGTGCTTTGACTTCTCTTACAAATGTCACGCGCACGACGAACCTTCCCCTCGAAGTCGTCATCTGTGGCACGCACATAGAGCCCAAATCTCCAGTCCCCAAAAACAGGTCTGAATCTAGATTTTGGAGTTTTGTTATGCGCTGATTCCCACCCAAAGCAGGTGCAAGATCCATCAATAGATAGCTCGCACGTGGAAGACGGAATTTTCCCTCCTCGCGAGTACATGTTTGGAGCGATTGGCCATGCAAAAGCAGTCTCGTCCAGAATTCCATCGACAGACGTAATCTGTGTGAAAGAGCATGATTCCCTCTTCTGATTGATACATTCCGATATGAGCGAATCGAAGTTTGCTTTATTTTCAATATTACTGAGAAGGTGTCAGCGTCTTGTAGTCATTCCTGATGCAGAGAAAGAGAGATACCATGAGAAAAACCATCGTGCGTGGACATGCTCATTCAGAGGCTCACCGCTAGCATTCCTCTTTTTCTTCTGACGCATGTGTGGAATCGCAGTCGTCGCTTGGAAGGCAGTGACCCTTGTAGAGGTCTTGTGATCATAGCCTTCAAGAACATGGCATATTAGTGAATCCTCGGCACGGAGTCCAAGCTCCTGTGCCATACCCCTTAAAAGGGTGATTCCGCAATTGATGTCACTGTCTTGAGAAAGTGCCGCTAATCTGCTAGGGCTACATAAGCCAAAGAACGGTAGCAATGTCTCAGTTTTGTGGACTGAGAATAAATCCCCCCCTTTGCCTTCCGAAATGAAGGAGCGATGCGTTCTTTATCGCGTTCTCGGGATCAGAATCAAGAATATTCTCTGCTGCCTTGGCTAGAACCTTCAGCCATACAAATTGACGGGTTGCATTTGCTGCCCGGGCTGACTTGCTGATCAGGTCCCACAAGTCCACAATCCATTGGGCAGCATCTTTGTGACGACGCCGGCTGACGCCCCATTTTCTGAATACGTGACCCAGAACGGCGATGACGAATTCATCAAAGGTAACTCTCGATGAGTTTGGGTTGCTTTGAACAACCACCGGGTCACCATAGTACCGTAAATGGGAGAATGTCAATGACCATTGAATCCCTTCAGGTTTGCTGCTCATCGATTTCTCCTGGCCAAGTGTGCAGCTTCCTCCTGCGGGAAACAGCCTATCATGAAACGGTACATGTTTTGGTGGTCCCTTTCCCAGCACGATCAGATCTGGAAAGAGATACCAAGACCGAAATGCAAGGAGAAGTAGCCCACTGGAAGCATCGACAGGAGTTCCGGAAAGCAGAGCCTCCACATTAACTAGAGCCTCTTTCCAAACGAACAATACACTCGCGTAGGTAGATCCCGAGGAAGTAATAGGAAAACGCAGGTATTTAACAATCAGCATGAGTTGATCAGACTCCCTTTGCTTCGCTTGATTTGCGCTTCGTATGAATGATCGAGCACTATTATCCCATATTGCTAGATCCTCTCGTGAGATTTCCTGCCTTGCGCTGAATACGGAGGATTTCGAGACAATATGATTGTTCGCGAGCTTAGATAAAATTTCTTGCTGTCGTTGCTTCACAAGCTCGACCCACAGAGCGGTTGCCTGTTTCGAATCCCAGGCCTGAGCCAACAAGCATGATAGCAGGTATACACCAATTGCAGGGATTCCGGAGGTTGCGGCGGCCCAGAGACTTGTCCCATCAGTCCCAACAAAAGGTCGAAAACAGCCGTCGGCAGGGGTTCCCGCAGGATTAATTCTGGGATCCTACACAATTTCTGACACCCTTTGACCAAATGCTTCGACTAGTTTGGGAAAGGATGGAAGGACATCCTCAAAGAGTGCCCCTAGTCTGCGAGCAGTTTGGTGTGGCTTGCCTTCTTCGGCATCCTGACGCCTGGTTTTCGCGATTGCAGATCCGAGTGGCTTGAACTCTTTTGGTGCTTCGATTGTAACCAAGGAAAAATCAAAATTGACGGCTGCAAGCGCTAGGGTGTTCTCATTTGAACCAGAAAAGATAGAGTTGACAATACGACCGATGCTTGACATGTTGACTAAATCGAAGTACTGAAATGAACCTTGGAAGTGCACTCCCAGGTGGGAGGGAGCTCTGAGACAGCGAAAGTCTGATCCCTTATGCGTTAAATTATCGCCCCGTTCATTTTCCCTTGGCTGATGTCCATCCTGCATACCTGCCGCATGTGATGAGTTGGCAAACAGCTGAACATGCATACACAGCCCTGGGGGTTATTGCCAACCAATCAGAGTTTCGTCAAGCTTCGATTTAGACTGCGCCCTGAAATCAGCGACCGTCATCAATATCCTGATTAACCTACCTATAGGTTGATACCTGGGTAGGTGGAGTATCTGACTACTGCTATTATATTTACTAACAGGCCAATCAAGATTTGATATCCTGTATGATAGCAAGAACGCCTTGACAACTCACGTGACCAAAACATATCCTACGTGTGATCTAGTCAACAAAAGGAGATGGGATGGGTAAGAAGATATTGGTAAAGTAAAATAGGTCGACCATACTTGGGCGGCATAGACGGTTTTATAGAACCACGCACGGGAACGCACAAGAATAAAAAGCGCTAAACCTAAAGGATCAGGATTAAACCTAAGAGCGTAATTCATAGCACTTGTCCGATATGGTGTAGTGGCTAACATCGCCGTCTCTCACACGGCAGCCGGGGGGTTCGATTCCCCCTATCGGAGTTAACTTTTTAATTTTTAAATCTATGATTTACCTCCCTCTAATCCGTTCTGAAGTGCTTGCAATTCAGTGTTATTGGTTGGTTGAGTGATTAATTACTTTTTCTTTATTTACTTAGTTTTGAAAGCTTGGCATTTTCTGGATGACTCATGAGGCTGCGCCTCCAAGGCTGTCGCGAAATTGAGTCATCGGGGAGTCATCGCAAAGAATTGAGACATTCTCGTGAGATGCTGAATAGTACCCCGCAATTTGCGACGTCTAGTCAGTATTCCAAATGATAGCTTCAGGGCTCAAGCTATAAGAGTTGCCAGGCCCGGACTCACAATGGCAGACCAAAGATTAAAGATCGTGTATTTTGCCATTGACAAGAACCATGGCCTCGACGGAAATCGCCGATTCTTCACTAGCTCCGGGAGATGAGATATCCACTGAAACCCCCAATCAATTCCGATTGGGGTCCACCAGTCCCCCTCGACCAACGAAGTCTGAACTGCAACGGACTCCATCCCCAGAGCCCCGATCTGGCGAAAATCGACTTCGTCCAGCAGGAGGTAAGCCTTTTCCCCAGCAGCTCAAGGACCCAGAAGATAGAGCCATAACTATCATTATTTGATCCCATGTATAATATACCATAGGTAGATCAAATAATATGGAGTACTGACCAATTTTATAGACATCATCAACCGCATAACGTGGGACTCCAACTTTGATCGCAATGACTATATCATCGGGTTCGTCGATCGGTTCGAAGGACAACTCGAAGTGAGTATGGATAGCTGGAAGAAGGAATCTACCGATGAGGAATTCATCCCACAACATCGTGTACTTTACATTCGACATGTGAATGGTGACATTGTGTGGGATAGAAGGCGGCGCATCGACAAGATCTTCAACAGCGGCAATTCAGCGTTTAGCGAGTTGGCATTTCTGCAGTGAAGCGAGTCTGCAAGGAGTTAATATTATCTGAGGATTAAGGTGTTCAAGTGTAAACGGACTGAGTGTGATCTGTGTTGCTGTGTTGTATACCTATTCTATGCATGTATTGTTGTATAGTTGTGTTGATGTCAACTTCGGGCAAGCTTCACTCGCACCTTCCCTACTTCCCCAACTTCAACGTTCCTTCCAGTTTTGTCCAAGTTGAACTTCCAATGTCAACTTTCCAATGATTTCTCTCTTTTCTTTTCTTTTCTTTTCTCTTCTCTCCTTCTGATCCTCCATCTTCTATCTTTCACCACCTTCATCCATTTGATTCTCCTTATATTCTGTATCACCCCGATCGAGAACCATCATGGACCCACCCGAGATACCCAAGTCGACAAAGCCACCAAGAAGGGGACTTGAACCCTTTCCGCTCCTCGACACAAACATCTCATGCGAGGAAGATGCCCGTACATCAGTGTTCTCCATGGCCTCATCTCCCGACCTGGAATCCAGGCCCACGAGACAAGCCAGGGCACCAACTTTGTTCTCAGATGAGAATATCGCCCCTAGCATTCGGTATGGACCAAGCAAAAACGCACACCTCCTGGAGAGGAGTATGGACGATGTCATCGCGAGAAAACAAGCCGAAACAAAGTCGACCTACTATGAGGAAGCGTTCTCTAGCCGCGGCTCGCATAATTCACCCAGGGAGCGCATCCTCCAGGACTCGATCGTGGTTGCTGAGCTCACAACCAGTGCCAAGGTAAGCCCTGGCTTTCTTGCGGCCTAGTCCAACGTGCAATCATTAATTTGAATACATACAGATCACCAGCCCTGGAGATTTGATGATGGACATTTCTCGCCACCTCGCTTTGATATACCAGCGCCCGGAGGCCGCGATTTGCCTGACGATTCAGACCGAAGCCCCTTTGTCATTTGGCAACATTTCTCTCCCAGCATACAAGCTCAAGATATACGCCCTGCCTTCCGTCATCGCGCCCACCACCAATATGCGCAGCACAACCATGCTGACCGAGGAGTTGTATCAGTTGATTGGTATTGGCCCCGATCTCGGAGTAATTATTTTCATTCCGGTACCTCAAGAAAACTTGGCGATGTACGGATCAGTTGTCGGAAATGAGCTCTCCAAGGTGGAACAGCAGGACAACCCCGGCTTTATGAAAACGCTTGGCCAATCGATTTCGCGGCGACACTTCAAATCAAGTAGCGGCGGGACCAGTGACCCTCTTTCTCCCTAGCTCTATTAAATCTCCGACCGTTGCTCAAACCCTTCAAAGCGCGCCAGTTGATGATGATATAGCGGCCGTCGAGCGACGACGTCAACTTGGGATGAAGAAGTCGGTATCGAATTTCGTGCGCCGTGGTTTGGGACGTGCTTCGAAAGAGAAAGAGGAGCAACAGGACCCTGAAAGAGTGGAAATTAGGGAGCCTGCCAAACCCAAGAAGGATGACAGAGTTCTTCGATTTGAGGACGAACTGTAAGAAAGTTCGATTCGGTTGGTTGCTGTTGTCTTTCTTTCTCTCTTTTTTGTGTGAATTGAAATGAATCCAATGATATTGTTCGCGTTGGCATTACGAACCATTGAACTAGCATGGGAGACAGATTATCTTTCCAAATACGAATTTTAGGTCTTCCATGGAACATTTCCGTACTCTAATATCCTTGATCTACTATTCCTTCTACAACCCTTGGGAACCCCCACCGCTGCTCAACTCTTCCCAAAATCGTGCCCCGCGCCCCACACCGGCTCCACTACTCAACTCGCGTTTTCATCTGCGCCTCGCGTCTGCACAATTTCAATACTGTGACTGTCTCCATTTACGATCTCAACTTGTAACTAGATTCATAATGAGTGTACACTCGGATGACTCGATGTCAGAAGTGAGCAGGGTGACAGAGGTGTGTGGCGATCTCTTCGATGCGCCAGAAGGATCTTGCTTGATCCGTAAGTTGAACTTTCGACTCTTGATACTCCCTGACTAATACATTACTAGATGCATGCAATGTTCAGGGCTCATGGGGAGCTGGGATCGCAAAGGTCTTCAAGCAGAAGGTGAGTCTGCTCTCCCAGAGCACTGGCTTGAAATACTCCGTGCGCATTTCTCAACGGCCGATTCGCTAACTTCGAGGGGGGTTCAGTATCCCACTGCATTCCAGTGCTATAAAGAGCACTGTGAAGCATACCAAGAGGAGATTGCTCATCATGATATCGTGGATCTGCAAAGCGAGGACGATGAAACTTTGTCCGTTCGTCTACCTCTAGGCACGGCACTAGTCATTCCCCCGCAGCCGGAAGATTACAACAATGGCAAAAAGAAGCATTGGATCGTCTGCCTTTTCACATCTAGCGGGTTCGGGAACCGCGTTGACTCTCCCGACCAAATTCTAAACAGTACCTATGCTGCCTTGGAAGACCTGGATATGCAGCTTGTCATGCTCAAGCAGCCAAACGAGGAAATTGGAGACGGTCAGCCTCCACCAGGTGCACTATTTTCTTGTCGATTCAACTCGGGACTTTTTGCGGTCCCTTGGAACGACACGAGGGAACTTATCGATGATTTGGGACTGGGTATGACGGTTATCTACCCGGAGGGAGAATGATCAGACTGCCCAACATAGGGTCTCATGATTCGGATATTCTTATTGCAAACCCTGCAGCTTTTGCTGGGTCGCTCGGGTCAATTAAATTATTCGCCGTTGAACGCGGTTGGTGTCCAACAATACATCAAAATAGGTATCACGGAATACCTAGCTGCTCACTTTTAAGCTCTTCAATTGGAGATAGATATGGAGTACCATGCATAATTTGACACCGTCTAGTAAAACTAGCGAATATACTTCCCCATAGGTTCTGTATTGTTCGACATCATGGGCTCTCCACCAGTTTCACAAATGCACGGGCAGGGCATTTCTCCGTCCACGGTCAATTATTCAGCCAAAGTGAAGTCAATAAATTTCACGTGGGAAATTGTGTACGACTTTCTTACCATGGTTAAATTGCCTATTCTGAGCAACTCCCTGATGATGCTGCCGATTTTCTGTCTTCGAATAAGCCACCTTCAAGTCTTGTGTGTTGGTAAAGATATTGTACCAAGAGACACTGGGAGGCCACCATGCAGGAGCCGTGGGAAGTGAGATGGGGTATCATAGGCAAGTCTTCCTGTTTCCATGTTTCTCTCAGAATGTGGCGTGTCCTTGACTCACTGTTATTAGCCACAGGTTGGATGGCCAGTAGGTTCGTGACTGACTTGCTCATCGATCCTCGTCTACGTGGTACCACCGATATTGTTCACAAGGTGGTCGGTGTGGCCTCGTCAACTAGGAAGGAAACCGCGACCAAATTCATCGACGACTTCGTCCGTCCAACCCAGAATGAGGAGTGCATCGCGCACGAGAGTTTCGAGTCCCTTCTTTGCCGAGATGATATCGATATCGTGTACATTTCTACGCCTCACTCGAGTCATTACAAGAATTGTCTACAGGCTTTGGATCACAATAAATCGATTTTATGCGAAAAGGTCTTGGCTATCAATGCTACCCAGGCCTACAAGGTCCTTGACAGGGCCAAAAAAGAGAATCTTTTCGTGATGGAGAATAATTGGCTTCGCTTTTTACCCATCAGTACAGCAGTTCGGAAATACATCACGTCAAATAAGCTTGGACATATTATCAGAGTCTATGCAGATCTATCTTACGGGGAAAACCCCGAGTCTTGGCCGGAGGGTCACCGATCTATCAACCCGGATCTCGCCGGTGGTTGTCTTATGGATATTGGAACTTATAGCCTTACTTGGATTTTGCAATGTCTTTATCATACATTGCCGAGCAATCTTCGCCAGAAACCCAAGGTTCAGAGTTTGATGTCTCTGTATTCGGCTGCCGGAGTTGATGAAACCAGCACCGTGATTATGGAGCTTGCATCACCACCGTATGGGAAATACAAAGCCCACGGCATTGCAACGACGTCCTTTCGAACAGATTGGGATCCTAATAAATGCCAAGATTCTGTTCCGTGTGTTCGGATCCTAGGCTCGAAAGCAGAGTTGCAGATCTTCGGTGGACCGGCTTCGCGCCCGCAGACAATCAGGATTATCCCTCAGTTGCGGGGCAATGCCAAATCAAGACTCCAGATGGGCGGAGCAAAAGGTACGGAGCAAGGTGATCTCGAAGTGATTAACTTTGGGGCACCTGGTGAGCCTGGGGGAGGACGTGGAATGTTCTGGGCCGCGGATGAAGTAGGGAGGAGCCTGAGAGACAAGGAAATTGAGAATAAAATCATGCCCTGGCAGGAGACTCTCTTGATGATGGAAGTACTTGATGAGGTCAGACGAGCTGGAGGTCTACACTACCCGGATGCTATTGAAAAGATCTGAATTCATTGACAACTGATATGAGGAATGCATCGTCATAGCAGTTATTTCCAGGCCACGTTCGCTGTATGCAATATAGACACCGAAACTTCAATGATATACAGAGTACGGAGTGTCTCTTCTCAGAATTCCTTACTACTGAACTGGAGAATCAAGATCGGCAATTGGCTAGGGCCCAGACTACCTTGAAAAGATTCGCATACTTAGCCTTTCGCCGAAATAATTTTCTCGTTCGATTCCGTCTTACGCATAGATGATCTCACCGTAAGAATAACACAGTCTCGGACCGTTCTTTATTTTCAGCTGAGAGAGATCCATTAACTATTGAATTTGTTATTGTCCACGAGACACCACTCAAATATGTATTCGGCCGTGTGGAGCCTCGTGGCAAATTGACAGCGGGATATTTGTTTCATTTTGAACAAGAAGTAGCATCGATTTGGGTTTTCGGTCTCGCTTTCGCTTAAATAGTGGGATATCCACGTAGTAATTAGTACTTATGTTCAGTTCATGGAGGTTGAGTGGCCATATAATAACTAACCCCTAACGAAATGGGGTGGCGGGCTGAGATAGACTTCGTGGTGGAGATAGCGGAGGAGGTGGTGCAGAAAAAGATACGGTAAAGACAAGCCGTTTCCTGAAGAACCCCCCGGGTTAAAGATATGAAGGCGGGAGATCGGCCGCAAAGAACCAAGGCAATTCTCGTTGGGAACCATGATCGTCCGAACTAGCAGCAACGAGGGAATAGCTACTCCACATACTAGCTATTCAAGAGGCCCACGCGATAGCACTAAGGCATTGCCATGACTGCTCATCACAACAAAAATGCGACCTCCATCCACATGGTCACATCGAAGCCGGAAGTCTATTCATACCCCATAAACTTCGAGTATTATTCCCGCTAAATCTGTCTCTTGCCCAGTGAAATACGCATATTGATGGAAGCCCGTGAGGCTAATTCCCGCTTGACCCTCGATCGGCAATCGGATCATCCAAATATGACAGTCGACAGGAAAAATCATGAACAAAGTTTCTGGTCTTACTGAATACTGGTCATTTCATAGATACTATGAAATGGTCTGTTTACGGGGTCTAATTTGTCGATATCAGTTCCCACCATTGACATTATGGCCACGATCATCAAGATTAGTTACTACACGGAGTGATTCAAGCCCCATCCCAATGCGCAAGCGCAGCCGATAGTTTTTGAAAGTCTTGAAGAGAAGATAATACCAACTTGGTGGCCTTGAGCATTGCTAAGTGGTCCATATAATGGATCTTAAGTGGAGACAGTGCAAGCAGAAAGACTATATAAGAAGTCAGGAATCCGGACAACAAGCAAGATATCATCCCCAAAGCCTAGATCTATTCATTAACCAAAGACTTGCGAGAAATATCCCCATCATGCACTTCGTACCTCTTCTCTCACTTCTGGGCCTGGCCGCTTCTGCCTCTGCCACGATCGGTGCCTCGCAAATGGTCTCCAATATTGATCAAATCACCGAGCTCTCGTCTTCTACCAACGACATCGCTCAAAGCATCTCGGTTGTGAATGTTTTCAGCACTGGACCTGTATGCTCTTTTCTATCCTTAATGCACTTGAGAAACCCGGGCTGTACAATTTCACTGACATCCATTTAATCGTTCAGCAACTGATCAACAACTTCAAAGACATCATTCAGACTGCCACGAATGACATTACTGCCATGAACACCAAGCGCTCTATTCATGCTCGCCAGGAATGTCTCGATGTCACGGACATTGAAAGATGTATCCAGGACCTCGGAGAAATTGTGGACGACCCTAGTGAAATCCTTGGAAGCAAGCGCTTTGTCAAGGTTGGTCATAATGCTCATACTTTTCAAGATAAATTTCTGACGAGACGGCCCAGGTCGAAAAGAAGAGACAGGATGCTCCTGCCTATAGCGAAACTGAACAACAGGCTGTTTGCACCGCTTTCAGAGAGGTAAGTGGTCCATTTCAGAATAAACAGTGATACTAGTAGAAATACTAACAATTATTCAAAGTTCGTCATGATTCACCAAGAGCTTTTGAGAACCGTCATTGGCAAGCATGGCCTTCTGAGCTTGACTCCCTTCACCAAGCCTATCGCGGCGGTACTCCAGACTCTAGAGGGCGGTGTTGACGAACTTGCCTTCGGGATCATCGATTCTGTTCCCACATGTGCTCAAGATGCCACTCAGAACAAGAACAGCCTGGACAGCACTCTTCGGGATGCTCGTGACAAGTACGACCAGTGATCTTCACATGTTTGATCCTCAAAGGACAATTCAATCTGCCTGAAACATTTATGATCTTCGATTTGCAACCCCTATGCCCCAATCTCTAGCTTGAGTTAATACACCTGGATATTTGGATTTAAGAAAACATTGTTCATAGTCTATTGCTTAAAACACTAATATCTTGATATGAATAGCTTGTACTTAATCTTTAGAACTTAGTTAACTAAAATCAGTATAGCCTTTGGAATCTGCGAGGTGGCCCTATCCCCTAGAACAGTCGGCTAGAATATGCACCAGGATACAATTTTCGGGAAGTTGCAAAGGGACAGGGTATTATGGGGGGGGGGTTCAACTATGAAGTCATCGGGGTGTGGCCAATAAGTACATGTTGAGTTTATGAAACCGAAAGGTAAGAATTGAGTCTGTCACATGCCTAGAAAAGGTATGGAGAATCAAGAAATGGACTAATTCACATTTTAAAAAAATTCTAGATGAAACTTCATCTTTTTAGGAAGTTCATTTACTCTTTCGTTTGGGTAATCAAATTTGCCGAAGCAGCAGGTGTGGTTCTGGAAAGCAAAAATCACTAAAATAGGAATTAATCTAACTCAATCTTGAATATTTTTGAATCAATCAGATTAAGGATAGTCCAGGATCAATATCAAAGAAGAAGCCTCTCCGATATAGGCGGTATGATTTGATAGACTTGACTGGTGGGTGACCTTATAGAGCTACCGATTTTTGAGGCTCCCCGGAGTGGAGTCAACTCCGAAACAACTACGAGGGGTTTCCAGCGAACAGAACCCCCACAGTACCTGGAAGAGCGCATAATTGAGTCTTCAAAACTTGTTGATCAAACATTCAAGGTGGATTTGACGATACTTCAATCTCGGCTTGATGTGAAAATGTCCATATGATTCTGACCGGCAAGTATATAAAGACCTAATATTTCAATTCGAAAAATAATATTCACAACAGTTCAACAAATCATTCAAAGAAACTTTCAGCACCGAAATCTTCTTCTACAAGCGAAAATATTCCTATTTTTCCCTTTAAAATCAAAATGAAGTTCTCTCTTCCCCTCATCGTCGCCACTTTGGCCTCCATCTCCGCTGCGGCCGGGACTCCTGCTCCCTCGGGTATTCCCTCTATCCCTCAAGCCTGCCAGGAGATCCCTCAGGCAATCGGCCTGAAGCCCATCCGGCTCCTGAAGCAATTCCACGAGGAAGTTTGCGAGAAGGGCAAGTGCAGCGCCACTATCAACGAACACAACGAATATCTCGTCAACAACGTCTTCCCCAAGATCATATCTGATCTAGACGAGAAGCTGGAGATCTCCGCTAGCAACAAGCAGCTTTTCAGCCAAATTCGCACCCAGGCTGCCGCTGCAGTCAAGAAAAGCTGCAACCCCCAAGGCGAGAAGGCTCTGTGCGATGACCCTCAGGGTCTCTTCGAGTGGGGCTCTTGCGCTCTCAAGGCTTCTACCCCGGTCTACCAGAAGCACATGAAAGAGCTGGCTAGCGCCTCTCAGCTTTCCGAGGCTCAGTGTCAGAAGCTCAAGGCCTTGGAAACTGACGAGTCTGTCTGGAACAAGACTATTCCTGGATACATTGAGACTTTCGCTCAGAAGTGCGAAACCAAGAACTAGGTATTTTCTGACTCAATTGAAGATTGAATTTACTCTTTGCTAAAATTGCCTTAGATTCTACATGGCCCGGAGGCTATGTTTGCAATGCTGCCATTGGATTTGATCGAATCAATTCCATGGATATATATGGCTGCAGATAGAGCTTGGGCTCGGAACTACTGGTGTATTTCACTTACATAGGATGCATACCTAAGTATGGTATCTAGATGAATGGGTGGATGCTGTCTATCTGCTACCAGCCCTGGAGGCACGGCAGACTTTTGTGATAGCCCTAACACTGTCGTTAAGTTTCTATTGATTTAAATGTTTTGACTATTCAATCTGGCCCATTAAACCCTCTTACCAGTAGTCTAAAGCTAAGATAATACTAGTATATAGCCTAGTACTTTCTGAATTTATTTGAGAGAATTCCGAGGCCAGATCTATCTTGATCGACAAGGACATAGTAGTGAGTCAATCAATCAATTTCGATGGCTTGGATTTTGGATTCCATAGTATAGTTGCGATTAAAAATGGACCTTTCAAAATAAAAATTACATGAATTATGTTATTTACCTCCAAATCGACTTTGTCCTGTTCTGACCTGATCTTATACTTCCAAGAGTGGGTCACCTGACAGCGCGCGTCCCCGCGACTCGCAGCAGCGGAGCTTTAGAAGTTGAGAAGCTACTCCGCACTGCCCTCAGCCTTCTCCCATTTCCATCTCTACCCTAACACCAGATCATACCTGATCACCCGAACAAAATGGCTGGAGAACCCCCCGCACAGAAGAAACGCCGACTCCCCTTCAAACCACCGAGTCGCGCTCCCAGCGCGGGGCCATCAACAACCGCGTCCAAGCCCAAACCTAAGACAAAAACCACAAAAGTCACTAAGCCCTCTGCAAAATCCTCTTCTACCGCATCCTCATCCAAAACACCTACTCAATCCAAATCCACCGCAAAGCGCCAACGCGCCCAGTCCCCTCCCGAATCAGTCGCCTCCGACTCGGGCTCCGGTTCAGAATCATCTGTCCACAGTCGCGAACGTTCAGTTTCCCAAGAACCGGACTTTATACTGGCAGAAATTATTGAGAATAATCCGACTGAGGACGTGGCGTCTAGTGATCCGACTATACCGCCCAAGCTGCTCACAAGATTACTGCATCAGCATTTCAGCAACGAGAAGACGAAGGTTGCCAAGGACGCGAATTCGATCGTGGCCAAGTATGTGGATGTATTTGTGCGAGAGGCAATTGCGCGTGCAGCATATGAAAGGGCCGAGACGAATAATGGTGGCAAAGGGGCTAGTGATGGATTCTTGGAGGTGGGTTTTATTTCTCGGTTTCTCCTGACCGGTATGTATGCTGATGCTAACTGAACATACAGGTAGAGGACTTGGAAAAGATGGCGCCGCAGCTTACGATGGACTTTTAATTATGGAATATTGGGAATACGGCGCTCGGGGGGTACTTATTTGATTTGGTTCATGCGTTTGAGATACCAAAGCACACATACAACACAGCATTCTGGAATATTCACTTCCACTTTCGATTTCCATTTTCCAACTTGCAATTCTTGTTTGCCCAGCTCCATGCTAGATGTATATCACCTTCAGCATGGTAATATCCCGTGGGCTCCGATATGCCGGAGGTTTTCCCGAAGTATGATCTTCAATGAAGGGCGGGAGAGCGTTGAATCCATTTGCATTATGCAGCATCCCGACATCGTGATTGACTCGTCGTGAAACAACCGGGTTCGCCATATATCCTGTCTTTTTCTTGCTGAAATGAGCGACTACGACAGGGAGTTGGTTATGTTCTGGGAGATGACCCAGCATGACATCGTAGTCTGCATTTGCGATGTCGAAGACCAGGAATGATCGCGTTCTCCAATTTTGGACGGCCAGGAGTCTAGTTTGGGATACGAGGACGGGCTCTTTTATGAGTTGGGTTTTCATTAAGACACGGAGGGCCGGTGAGATGAGGTCTTGAGGTGACTCTCGCGCTTTCGATAAAAGGGAGCTTCGCTGGGAGACAATCACCAGGACTCGAAGACGAGGCTGCACCATCTTGACCTATTGATGGATGAGTACTTGGATGTCCTGGGCTTGGAAATGGAGTAGTATCCTTACAGAAGTCACCTGGGCAATTCTGAGGGATTTTTTACCTGTTCAAATGATATATAGAGATGTATACTAGGTAGTATTGAGGAGTACCTAGGTGGATAGCGATATCATCGTGGCATCGACGATACTATATACCCTCGCCTGGGATAGCTTAAAGCAGGCCATCATAGTACAACTCTTGGGACCTGCAGTCTTCAGGGCTGGGAATTTGGACTGGATTGCAATTTTCACACCGATTAAACAAGTTCAAATTCAAGTTGTCATCCATTGCCACCAATTCCTCGTTGTGGTGTAGCGTGGCCATGTTAGTCCAAGTGGCAATTTGTACCACTCTCAGGCAGCCAGGTCGAGTCAACATGCAAACGAACAGAGAGGATGACCTTGCAAGTTTTAAACAGAGACCATTTGAATCACAGATCAAAGCACGGTAATCCAAGGGTGTCAAGGAATTTCGAGTGGAATGTGAAGGGCGACAGCGCAACTTCCCGAGGCGGTCACGGATGTTTGGTCTGTTCGGTTTGTCTTCTCCGCAACACGCGCCGCGTCTTCCACAGTTTCGCATTCACATATTCGCGTTCGCATTCACATTCAAGGCCGATCAGGGCCTTTTGACTTCTGCGATGAACGACGCGACGACTTCCCTGCTCACCGAGCATTTCAGCTACACCCCCTTGGTGAGTATCTTCACCCCCCGCAGACTGGCGCATCTACGTGCAGGGTGACCCACCACCCCTCGAGAGTGAAAATAGCACGCTGACTAGTTGAACCAGTCCCTTATAGACGACATTATCAACTCTATCAACAACCTGATCTACCAGGCGATCTCCAGCCTCGAATCTGGTCTCATTGACACTCCCCCAGAGCGACTGGGGTTTGCCCACGACAGTAACGGAACTGTCATTCATGAGGCTGATGAGGATGGAAACATTATCTATCCAGAGGCGAAACTTGAGATCGAGAATGGATTGCACCAGTTGGAGACACTTCTTGAAGCCAATGTCGACAAGGCATTCGATAAGCTCGAGATCTACGTGCTGAGGAACATCTTCACCGTTCCCGAGGATCTGCTCTCGTGGGTGAAGCTCAAACATTACGAGGTATGCGATATTAAATTTTGAACCGGGATTCATGACCTGGCTGACACTGACACTCTGGATTCTAGGGCCTCTCCTTCGATAACTCACCAGACGCTCCCCCCCCGAAACCATCCAAGCACAACGCAAGAAACTCCTCGAAACCAAGAAACTCAACCGGGCCTTGCAGGACGAATGTGCGCGAAATGATGCTGTTATTTCCCAGCTGAAATCAATCATTTCCACCGTCGATACCTCGAAGACTGATACCGATAAGAATGAAACAATCAAGGAATCTGACCAGCTTGATCTTTCTTTCCTGACAGCTAGCCCGGCAGCACGACAGCTTCGTGTGGGCGTTGATGCTGGATCGAGGGTGAAACATGCCCCACTTACAACAAACACCGCTTTCATTTTGTCCCAACTCCCTGCTTTGCAGTCGACACTCACCCAGCTTCGACCGAAACTGGCTGCCTTGCCGGGTTCTCTCAAGCCAATGGAGACCAAGACGAAGCGCGACGAGCGGAAGGAATATATCGAAAGCCGAATCAGACTACATCTTGAACGAGCTGGGCAGCTAGCTATCAGTGATGATGGAGCTGTTGTCGCAGGTCGCCGAATTGATATCTCCGAAGCCCATGCCCTCGAAAATGTTGCGAGTATGCTGGCACGGGACAACAAATCTGCATAGAAGGATGGTTCTTATTGAAGGGCTTTGAATTATTTTCTTCTTCTCTTCTTTTCTGCATTGGCACTATTTTCTACGACCAAGTTACAGTCCATGTGTCCTGGGTCTTGCGGAAGGGAACAACGTCGATCTTATCCGACTTGAGGATCTCCTCGATCTTCTCACCCTTCTTCTCGAGAGTGATAAACTCCTTGGTCTCCTCTCCAATCTGATAGAAGGCACGACCGAACTTGCTCATGAATCCCTCCAAGATCTCCGGGGTAATATCCTCGTCCTTAAGGACACCATTCTCAATGGCCTGCTCGAAGGAATCGAGTACAACCTGGGTAGTATAGGGCTGAGTGAAGACGCCGGCAGCAATCTTCTCACCACCACGCTTGGAGGCAGCAGGGTGCGGGGCGCTATCGGAGCCGAAGAAGAACTTGGGATTGCCTGAGGCTGCGGCCCGGAGAAGGGCATCACGATCGGCAGGAGTCTTCGCAACAGGCTTGCAGAAGCAGAATGGGTCACCCGCCCACGAATCGATAATGATTGAAAGGTGGTGAGCGGTAATGGAACCGGCGACGGTAGGACCGCACTTCTTGACGGCCTCAACAGCAGCAGCGGTGGTACAGTGCTCTAGGATAATGCGGAGCTTGGGGAACTTCTCGTGCAGCTCGAACAGCTTCGGGAGGAAGCGCTCCTCGGCCGACAGCACTGTCACGTCACCCTGGGAAGGAGCCTCACCGTGCAGGTTGAGGATCATGTTCTGACGCTCCATCTCCGCGAAAACGGGGTAGAAGGATGTGTAGTCGACGACGCCGGAGCTCGAATTGGTGGTCACGCCGGCCGGGTAGCTCTTGACGCCGGTGATACCGCGCTTCTTAGCCTCGATGATGGTCTCGGGTGTGATGGTTTCGTGCAGGTACAACGACATGAGATAGTTGACGTTAGGCTCGAGGGCTTGCAGGCGCTTTTGGTAGTCCAGAGCACGGTCGACGGTCGTGATGGGCGGAACCAGGTTGGGCTATACAAGTGGTATACAGTTTAGAGGCAATTCATTCACAATTCAATCAAACCGAACCTCATCAATCACCAAGCGTCACAGGGATTCAATAAGCTATCTTACCATCACGAAGACAGTGTTCACACCACCTTGACGAATGGTGGGCGTCACCAGCTCCATCATCGGTCCATCGCGCAGGTGAACTGTCGAAAAGTCCGAGTCAGTTCACAATCGCATCTACCTAGGAGTGATCAAGGACTGGCACATACCATGAAAATCGGCCGAGGCCGGGATCTTAACTCCCTGCAAGTGAGACAGGGGCATTGTGGAGGTATGAAATAGAGTCAATTGGATCTGGGGAGAAACAGAAAAAGTCGCGGGGTGCGCCTCATCTTTTGCCCCGCCATTTTTTGGTCGGTTCTGCCGGGCGGTGTGAAGTATACAACAACATCACCGAATTTCTGCGATTGCAGATATTAATTAAAGATCTCTAGATGAGACCATTCAACTTAAGTCGAAACAGTAATGTTTATCTGGAACAAGCCATCGTGATATTCTACGGGTAAACGGGTGAATATCGACTTGGACAGACCTTCTTCAGCTTCAGAATCTATTAGAATGCAGGAACCATTTACTCTAAACATAGTCCAAACATAATCCATTTAGAATGACGACCGTAATATGAAGTAGACTTGGCAAACTATACTTGACAAGATCTATCTTCCCCAAACCACCACCAAAGTTCAGGCATGACCCTGACCCTGAGCCCGAGCGAGCGCCACTGGTCACAGATCATCCCCGGCGCTTAGCCTCAGCCTATCACAATTCCTCTTTCACCTCCCAGCTCCAAAGGAACAGAACTCCAGGAACACAAATCAGAAGCCATTATCGACTCTCTTGAGTGATGATCACCAGTCATTTTTTGCAAATTCTCTCCAATTTCCAAAATTAGCACCCAGCTAACCGCCCACCCTCCCCCTTGCCAAGCATGCAGGCTCGCGCCCGGACGATATGCTTCACCCAGACTCCTCTCTAAACACAAAACACACTTTCTGCAAGCCCATGTTTGCGGTGCGGCCTTTCAAACACTGAGAATTAAACTTCTACAATCACACGAATCAGGATCCCGCATATCTTATCCTACCCATATGCCGTGGCTGATGTCGTGATGAGGACCTCCTATCCCCAGCGCTGGATACGCGCCCGCGCAAGAAATGCATTGTGATGGCAACGCGCTCGCTAAAACTGTCTGTGACGAACTGTACTCGACTTGCGGGGTGGATTGCATTGTCCTACATATTCGGCCTTGTGTCCCCTCTTGCTGTTTGGTCTGGAACCAGGGGGGCTTCTATTTCGATTTCTTCATCCACTATTCTTTCTTTTTTTGAACTTCGCCTGTCCCTGTCTGTCTTTCTGAACCTCCGGCCAGGGTCCCCCTTCTTTTAAAAAATTTACACCCCCAATTGGGACTGTTACTTTACTTTCCCAACCTTGCCGGCAAGGTATCGAGCTAATATCTCTTCTATACTTCAACTGTGACATCAGTACCCCTCGTTCTCTTCTTCATATATCGCCACAATGAGCTCGAATTCATCTACAGCGGGCTCCCACCCTTACTCTACAGATGTGGAGGAGTCTACCTTTCTCAAACGCAATCGTTTGATACACTGGGCTCGCCTTGGCCTCTCTGTTTTGATTACTACTGCGGCCATCGCTACCGTGGCTTGCGAGGCCGTCCCCCTACGCCATTACAAGGACACATCTAAATGGTCGAGTGACGATCTGCCCCTTTGGCCCATGAACCTTGACGTGCGCCCCACCGTTGCAGCTTTAGCCTGCGGCTGTGTGATTACAGCTCTGAATTTGGTCTATGTGGTCGCTGCTCTTCTTCCTTCAGTAAGTGCCGGCACTTACTTACTTTACCTATAATATCAAGTATCTAACATCGTGACCAGCCCCATTCCCGCATCAAACTGCTCAACTCTTACTCTTCCCTGTCGGCCATTAGTGGCTTCATCGCCGCCCTCGTCGGCATCATCTTCATCATCTACCGCCCCTCTTCAAACTATCCATCCGGCTTCACCGAGAATGAAACCTTGTACAGCTGGACCTGCAAGTGGAAGAATGGATCTAGCACACAGACAATCCCAATCGACTTTTCGCGGGATTGCCACGACACACGCGCTGGATTTGCACTTCTTTGCTTGACCCTGGGGCTGGAAATCCTCATGGGAATTGCTGCCGGTGTTGGCTCTTTGTCCCAGCGCGGTGTCTCACGGCGCAGGGAGGAGCAGTTCCAGCTTGAGAAGTTGGAGATTGCTACGAAGCAGGCTTATCGGGGTTAAATGATATTATTGCTATGGGTAACGCGACTCAGGTGTTGCAAGCTTGATCTGAAATGCGAATTATATGGGCTGTTTATAGGTGTCGGTGTGTATTGATGACTTGGATGACTTTGCGCAGGTGACGAATGATGGATTGTGGTTTTATGGGTTATCGCGAGAGACGATCCATGCTGGACATAGATTGAAGCAAGCGGGTCTGAGTCCCAGGTGAAATTCCATGTATATACGACGGAGTACCCAGTGTCTCCGGAGGTCTTAACTCTGGTTAATTACATGCTTGAAAGTTTCCTCACGTAACTACATACTGGTAGTACTATCTCCATAGATATCTCATTCCAAGGTTCCAAGGCTGGAATATCCACCCACTGGCAGTTTTCAAAATTTCCCTGATACCTAGTAGTGTACATTTAATGGTAGAATCGGGACAGACTTGTGTTTCATGGTGCGACAGTAAAGTCTGATATCTATGCTGCTCCATACTAGTAACAATCAGGGGCCTTCGACAACATTTAGGAACGCATCTGCCAATTTGAATCATATAACTTGCTTAGAAACTTCCAAGGTTGAAAGATGAAGAGCAAAAAAGTATTTTCAAACGATAGTCGCAATTCAGGAGATTTCTTTAGATTAACCCTAATGCAGTAGCCTCACTGCATCTTCCAGTCACCCCTCTTGTCGTCAACCTCGGAATCTACCCTGCAGCGCCAGCCAGCTGAGCCATAACCTCGTCATGAACTTCATTCCGCTCTTCGTCGTCTTCTGCATACCCCGCGGCCATTCTTAACACTATGATGCCTCCAGCGGTTGATAATAGGCTTATCCCAAGCCAGGAAAACACACGCGCAAAAGAGACGGAAGCTCGGATACGCGCCTCCTGTGTCGTGACCTTCACGAGCGGCCCATCAGTGTCAAACCACGCATGAAACATGTTCCATGCTGCTAGGTAGGATTGGCGGATAAGGACCTCAACATAGCCATCGATGTTATCGTACGTCGGTAGGAGCGTCGAGTTCACCACAGCGACCATGGTCATGAGATCCGGCATCAGCCATAGTACCTCTTGAACCCATGGACTGGGATCAAACACCACTCTAGAAATCGGTGTTTGGTCTTCGATGACGCGAGAGGTGATATAAGTGGCTGTGGTGCTGTTAGTCACACCGGCGGTGATATTCACGTTACCAATAAGTATGCAATTTTTTTCCATGCCAGCATGTATTGTGAAATGCTACTGGGGGGGCCCAAAGGATGTTGGACCAAGGCCGGCGCTGGTGCATGGTGGTCCACCACTCCCCGGGCGAGCGATGATGCGTACCGAGGACTTGTCGTGTCGATCGCATTTTATCCGTTCACAGAAAGGGCAAGGACTAGGGCGAGAGCTACACAGCATAATACGTGCCCACAGATGAATATCCAGTCCAAATGTAGTTTTCGTTTAGGAGGAGGAGGATTTTCGGGCAAGGAGCATGATACAACCTGGGGTTCTTCGAGGCCCAGATCGGCTACTAGGTATGCAGTAACTTTTCTAGAATTATCGAAAAATCCTGTCACTGCCCAGGTGAGAACTAGTTATCGCTGGATTACCATCTCACAGGGGGTATTAGGGTATATGTAGGAGCCTGGATCATCGATTCCGTGACACCCGAAGCTACAGATGCGCCCTGAACGTGAGAAAAGAACCATAATAAACCATTGGTACATTATGAGCTCCCTGGCAGTGATATAACCTGAGTTAACCACCCTCATATTTTATGGGTCATTTTCATTATGTGCCCAGGTGCATAAACTGACACCGCGTCTTAGATGGTTCGTAGAGTGTGCATGACCAGCGTCAGTCTGTATTGAAATATGTCGAAAGTTACCCGACGGCTGCAAACTGACAGTCTTACTTCCTAGCGTGGGAGGATCCTAGGCCAGATATCTACAGAATTCGACTGTAAATGTATCACAGGAACTTTATGTTTGAGAAAACGTGGAGCGAGTACACTAACTACCTAGCTAATAATTATAGCCCAGATGCATCGCAAGAAGCCTCCTATTGATGATACTAATAGGATACGCACTATCCTGTGCATTTCATTGAATATACCAGTAGTGAAAAATTCTACTTATTTAGACATTATGAGCTTTATCTGATTCATCTTCAGCTGCAAGGCTTCTCCAAATCGCGTTTTAAAAGTCCCCTTCAAGTGTGGTACGTTGGTATGGCCCTTTGGGCTCATTTGCATGGTCTAGATTCGGAACATTCAGCAAGCATCTCAAGACAAAAAGACAACAGATACGAGGGCGCTAATATGTACGTCTGACTGCATTGCTTTTGAGTGGGCTGGCCGAAAGGTTGACATTGCCTAGTGCTTACGGTTCCATCGAAAGGTTGAAAACTCCAGCTTTAATTGGGCATCTGGTGAGAGTTTCAGCTCACCTCCGATTATGTTTTTATCCCGCGCTCAATCTACCCTGGGTAGCTTGAGCCGATTTCATGATTTCGCATGAAAGCCGCGCTAGAAATTTGTCAGTATCAAAAACTTCCAGTTTGACATGTAATCTCATTTCTGTTCGAAAACCGACTTCATGTTTACCAAACAAAGATTTGAGTTTAGACTGTAACGTCGGCATAATTTGCCAGAATGTTTGGTTATAGGGCCACAGCGTGCATCGCGTAACGAGGGAAGATAGCTGCGGAAGTCCGCCACATCAGTATTTTATCATAAATCAGTTCATCGCTACTATTACAGCTCCGCTCCAGGCCAATTGTACCCATTATCACTAGAACTTGTTACTAGCTAGGATACGGCAAATCTGCGGGCTGGGAGGGTACCCTAAAGCCTACTCTCAAATTGAGGGCTGAGGGTTACGTCTTGTTACCGGGACGTACGCTCAAGGCCCTCACGTACCCTGGGTAAATCTGCCTTACCGTGTTTGACTCGAAAGGTCTGCAAGAAAGAATGCTTCGCAATCGACTTAATCGGCTCTGACAAAGCCAAAGCCAAAGCAAACCGCAAATCGTTCAAAATATGCCCGATGTCCTGTGAAATGTAACTTTGCTAGCCGCGCTGTCCCTCGCCGTTCATTGATTCAGGAAAACAAAACACTTTGCGAATAAGACAATGCAATTGACATTTTTAGTCCCGGCACGATGGATGGCAACCAGAATTTTCCCAATCAATGATTCCGAAAATATCGTGCCGCTATGCCCGTAGCGAACCAGCGTGGCCGGCTGTTCTTCGGGCCAAGCCGCCAGACTGCGGGGAAGCTATCGAGCGCTGCGCTTTTTACTCCATCTGGCAGGTGAGCCAACTTCCTTCAGAGACTCTGTGCAACTATGCGGACCACCCCCGCGGATATCCGGGCCGAAGTTCCTTGCTAAGGATGTCTTATAGTTGTCTGGTCTTGTGTGCGTGGTTCTTAAACAGCCGCTGCGCAGCCCAGCTCGCTCAAAGAACCAACGATTATTGATCCAGGAACTGCTCTCGTTTCCGCAGTCTTCAACAGATACCAATTGCAATGGCAATCTCGGCAAACACACGCTTTGAATGGAAACTTACTAAGCCAGGGAGATGGGAACGGGATATTGATGAGGTAGAAGAATTCTACGCCTCGTTGGCGAAAGCCTATGAAGGAACAGGAAGAGTCTTCTTTGCCATGACGGGGCTCATTTCGATTTCCGTTCCTGTACAGCCAGGTACTGGATTCCTCGAAGCAGAGAGAAAAATCGAACAGGCGCTACAAAATGCCTGGATTCGTCTGCGGTTCGACCATCCAACCATCGCTTCCAGGGTACAATATGACCCGGTTCAGAAAAAGTACAAGAAGATTTACCAGAGCTTCACCGATAGCGCATCCCAGCGTCAATGGCTGGATGATACGTTCTGTGTCGTAACAGAAAGAATGTCGGGGTTTGACTGGTGCAATTCCGATCCCCCAGTCCCTGCTCTACCGACACTGTACCTCGTCAAAGCCCCAGCCTCAATTGACCAGACTTTCCGCGCTGATCTTGTCCTCCGCTCACATCACGACATCATTGACGGTATGGGCACCTTACTTCTTTTCAACAATTTCTTTTCTCTCGCTGCCGATGCATACGAGCAAACCAAGTACGAATTGCCTCAATTTGGCGAAGAGTGGTCAAACCTCAGCCCGCCTCTGAGGGTAGCAGCCGGAATAACGGAGACCCTCTCACCTGAGCACAAGGAACACATGCGCGGAATCCTCAAACACAACGCCTCATTGAGGGAAGGCATTCAAACAGCAAGCCCGCCATTCCAGCGCCAAAACACGCTCCCCGGAAAGCACCAACGGGTTGCAGTTACTTTATCTGAGAACACAACAGCGAGGCTGTTGGAGAAATGTCGCAGTCTCGGGCTTAGTGTCACGCATGCATATCATGCCGCAATTGCGCTGGCTGTTCGGGACCTCCAGGAACGGAAGGAAAATGAGCGCATGGTGCGATACATAAGCTACTGTCTGGTCAATGAGCGCCACCACTGCAAACCACCGTACAGTACACCAAGCCATCCTGCATCGGTTTATCACTCCGTCTCCGGTCGATGTTTGGCCGTCGACCTCACTGTGCCCGCGCTAGGGAGCTTCAAAGATACTTCAACCGATGAGGAAATCTTCCGTGCTATTGCTCAACATGTCCGAGATTACTATCTGGAGATTCGTGACAATCAAGAGTATATCAAGCTCGTTCCAAGCTTTTGGGCGATGTCAATATTGCCGTATCCTGGACCCGACCTCCCTCAAATCCCAGCACGGAATGAGACCCCTTCAGTATCTATCTCCAGTATGGGCGTGCTGGATAAAGTCATTCGCCACAGTTATGGTAGCTTCAGCGTTGAAAATCCTTGGGTTACCGGGGAGGAGCTTGGAACTGGACTTGGAGTGTTCCTAGATACGTGGAAAGGCAGATTGACACTCAGCGCAGCGTACAACGATGCTTGGCATGGGAAGAAAGAAGTTTTGGATGTTTTGAACGGGTGTAATGACATCGCATTCCAGGGATTGGGTATCGGAGAGTGTGAACATGAAACCAACTTAAAGTAGATTAGGCGATATGTTCCCTTATTCCAAACCCATGGCTTATTGAATTATCTTGAGAGTGTTTTGACATAATATGAATGAGAAAACCTACGAAATGCCGAGGTGCGTCTCGTATAGATTGCGTATGCATCCGCATAAATCCAAAATTGATACCTTCATCGCTTCGATGTAGGTAACCATTTCAAATTTGCAGGGTGCCATTTGACTGGCAAGTGGCTGATATTCTGGAGTCACGATGCTTCGATAATCTTTGAGAATGATCATTTCGATGGAGTAGGTACCGGTATATGTAGTGTTTATGTATACTAGTGTTTATCGGCCTTAGGTGTATGGCATTTGATGCCATACACTCAGTACACCTGGGCAGTATACTATGAATGAACCAATAGGAGTCCAGTAATACATGACATAATCCTTATCAGTACCGCCTTTGGCAGAATTATCACATTCAACGCGTCGACCATCCCAGGGTTTCTCTTCTATATCTCATAACTCCCCAATTCACCATGCCTGCCGATCCAGTCGCGCAAACAGTCGACATCGACGAAGAACCCTACGAGTCCGCTGAAGACGAAGATTTCCAGCTCGACGCCGCACAAGATGATTCCGAGCTGTCGTCTTCCGACGAGGCCCAGGCCGAGGCCGAACCCGCAAAGAAGATACGAAAAAACGATAAGAAACGCGATGCGCCCGAGGATATCGAGTTAGACTCTGGCGATGAAATTACGATCAAGAAGGCGCAGGCCAAGCGGAGGAGGCGGAAGGGAAAGAAGGGTGATAATGACTCTGATCTCGACGACGATGAAGGGGGCACTGGTGGTTTTGTACGAACACGCGCTATGAAGGCGATAATGTAAGTTCTCGGTTCTCAGCAAGGCGCCGTGCAGTCCAAGACCGGGTTTTAACCTTTCTTTTCTCGAACAGCCAAGAAGAGCGCAAACCGCTAGCCAGGATCGACGGCGCGACTGTGGACGTGAACGCCTTGTGGGAACAGATGAACGACCCCGGGAATGCCCTGGGAACATCGACGTCTGAGACGGAAAAACAGACCGAGTCGGCCCCAGAGCCCGATCACTCCGCCGACACGCAGAAGAAAGACCAGCCTATCACGGATGCAGAGGATAACTCTCGCCAGGACCAGTACGCCGACCAGATGATCAAGATCAAGCGCACATACAAATTCGCAGGCGAATGGATCACAGAGGAGAAGGTCGTGCCCAAGGGATCTGCCGAAGCCAAAGTCTTCTTAGCCAGCGGGGAAGCCGTCGAATACGCCGATGCAGACGCCGTAGCTGCCGCGGCGGAAGCTGCTCGAAACCTCCGCCGACCGATACGCAAAATCTCACGATTCGACCCCAATCCGACCGGTACAATTAAGAAGAGCTGGGAGAAACAGGCCGTCGGACCCGGCGACGACGCGAAGGGACCTAAAATCAATACTGTGGAGAAATCTCGCCTGGACTGGGCACAGTATGTCGACCAGGCTGGTATCAGCGACGAATTGCGCACACACAGCAAGGCTAAGGAGGGCTATATGAATCGCATGGACTTTCTGGGTCGCATGGATGCCAAGAGGGAAGAAGAGGCTCGCCAAGCTCGTCTCAAGGGCATGTGAAGCTTTAGTCCTCGCGAGGAAATCTCAAAACCTACTCTATTAAGTCACGCGGCTCCACGGTTCTGCGGTCTCTGCAAGGGCTTGATCATGAAGACCATCAGACCAAATATGCCAGCTCCATGTGCGTCTCCAGGGTTGTATACAGGAAACAGCATGTCCGAACCCTCGAAATCTGGTGGCTTGAGAATGGAATCCTTCAAGAAAGCTGCCAGTCGATTCTGATCCAATGGTCAAACACCGTGCAGAATCACCACCAATGCGAAACCGAATTGGGGATTTCGTCAGTCCCGTCAGCGCAGCGGGTCAGACGGGAACTGATCAACCAAGATTCAGTCCCGCTCGTAACTATCAATATACGAGATGATCAAAGTCCATTTAGTCTCGCTACAGCCTTGCTACAGTCGTGGCCATACTATCTTGAGATTCATCACAAGAAAAGAGTCGGTCGGAAGTTGTTTAACATTTATGGGCAATGAATGCCCTTGTACTCTATATCCAAGATACCAATACAGATACCCAAAGCTAATATGAATCCATACAGCAACAAGATCACATCGGTCTAAGATAGCATAGCTAATCCCATCCACCTTACGCTCTGTTTAGCTGCTCTTGGGCACGTACTTGATGCCGCTGCTGGGGCAGCTCGCCGTGGTGACTGCACAACTGTTAGCAGGAAGTCCGGCAGTCATGGAATTTCGCTCTTTCAATGAGAGACAACTTACGCGTATCAACAGCCTGGTATTTTCCAGTAATGGCATTGCCCTGGACATTGAAGAAATACCAGGCTTGGTTCAACTTGCCGCTGGAACAGCTGACATAGACCTCGGCGCCGTGCAGCTTGCTCAGAGCAGCCTGAATCTCGCTCAGAGTGTAGGTCTTGGACTCATCAGGGGTGATGCCAGCATCGGAAAGGGCCTGCCGTATACATTAGATGTGTCATTGGATAAGAGAGACGTAGTATACGTAAAAACATACCTTGTAGGTATCCAGACCCTTAAAGAGATCGACGGTCTTCTGGAAAAAGTCGCCGACCTCCTCCTGCGGCGAGTAGTTGGAATAGCAGTCAACGTCGATGGTGTTGATACAAGTGCCATGCTTTCCCCACTCGTGCTCCCAGAAGGACTCGTTGTCGCCATCGATGTCGACCCAGTAGTCATCCATATAGGAGAGTAGGTCGGTGCGATCCTGCGCCTTCAGGATGTCGGTGATGTTGGTATAGGCGCGAGAGCTATCACAGTTGGACTCGTAGGTGCCATCGCAGTTATCAGGCCTAGTAGCAGGTCAGCGATGGTGTTCCAAAGTTCAAGGCAACTTGAAGGAATATCATGATATGCCCCGGTCAAACTTACCACAGACCGTGGATAGTCCACGAATCAGTCGGTCCTGTGACTGGATCGGTGTCCCAGAACTGGGTTTGCAAGAGTGCACCACCGGGGTAATTGTAGCAACAAGTGCCAGCCTTGGAAGAACTTTGGCAACTGAAAGTGTTGTTGTTGGAGCAAGTCTTGATACTGGCCGAGACGGAAGCCGCCAGGGCAATTAGGCCGATTGAGGCGCGGGCGAAAGACATCTTGATTGAATTCAAGTGATGAGAATCGCTCAATAATTAAAATTGAACTTGAATTCTCGTATGCCCTTTTGTCGGCAGACGGTGCTGAATTAATAGTCGCCCTGCCCAGGTACCAAGAACACTATGAATGCACGTCGCCTGCAGAAGCGGCACCTCGTCAGGGACGGCGATCGCTACTGATAGCAGCACATGCACTGGTCAAAGGACGCTGATTCGCGCGACTCAGATCGGATATCGCCGTCAAGCAGCTAAAACCGAGTGGGACGAGCGGGGATTGAGTTGAATGGGGAAAGGTGAAACACCCAATGACTGTCGATAATGCACCGGGCCCCTGGAGGTCAACTTGGGCGTATCTCGATTCTTGGTTCAGTTGCCGGATCATGGGCAATCGAGGTTGCATTGAGTCTTCTAGTCCCTGCTTTTTTTCATTTCTAGACACTGGAGTCCAGCGGATCTCCGACGTTGATTGAAGCCCTGTGAGATTAAATCCGTCACTGATCGCCCCGTGTCCCCCCAGTGATCTAGCGAACCAGCGCCCCGTCGTGGGTCTTGGTAAAGGAGATGATCTGCGAAGGCTGAGTGTCCTTCACATCTCACTCTTTTAGGGAAAACGGGTTGGATTTGGGTGTTTCAAGTGGTACTAGTACATCTTCGAATCCGTGCCATGTGTAAATTGATTGTAAATTGATGGAAATACTACATTTTCCATATACTTTAGACATCATGGAAGTACTAAAACACAACTAAACTCCAAAGAATGCACTGGCTAAACGTGCCATCACGGTAAATCCTCCAATATTATTCTTCATTATTCGGCAAGAAGTGGTTCCTCCTCATCATGCGACAATGGATCACGCACTCGAATATTCCAGGCCACGATCGAAACTAGCATGAAGACGACAGAGGCCTGCAGCCACGGCAGACCCATCCAAGCATTGCCGAAATGCATTCCAAGTCGGAACAGATAGGCGAAAAGGGGCCCTGAGATGAGACCTCCCAATGATTGCGAGATTGCAAGGGCCGAGTAAAGTGTTCCGATATGGTTCGGTAGGACGAGGGCAGTGACAAGACTACGAGTAGCGACCAGGAAGCCCATTCCGATTGAGAGGAATAAGAGACCCCAGATCAAGATGCCTGGGACCGGCGCGAAGGCCATAATGGCAAAGCCGACCGTGGTGAATACGCTGGTCGCTTGACTGAGACGATAGTCTCGGTATTTGCCATGCAGGTCAAAGAACCTACCGGCGATGGAGTTGAATGCGGGCATGAGAACGAGAAAGTTTGCCAAAGAAAATATCCCACGGAGTGAAATGAGTAAACTGGCCTGGTTCCACCGTGTCAGTAAGAGGAACGGTCACTTTCATCAACTTAGGTGAAGAAGAGCAAAACGTACCTGGCCAATACTCCAATTGAACTTCTTGGATGCGTATTGCATCAGTAAACTCGTTGACTGTCGACTCATGAAGCCGACTCCAGCGATTAGAACAAGGAGGAAAACATTACTATCCCTCCAAATAAATCGGGTGGATTTTTTGAACTCGCGGGCCTGGTAGATGATCTCCTGCAACATTGGTTGCTTGCCTGGTGGCTCCATACCTTCAATTAATTCCACTGGGGCTTCATCTTGATGAATTTTCAATTTCGCTTTGGCGTCTGCGAGGGTCTCTGGAATGAAAAAAGCCGGCAGGGTGCCTAGTACAATTACAACGAGGCCGAGGATATAGGGGTACCATATATCAAAGGTCATCAAATAGGCACTGAAAGGCGTGGCCAAAATTTCTGCGAGTAGGACGCAGGATGAGAGGCGAAATATCGCAGTTGATCTATGATAATTTTAGTGAGCTTGAGCTTGAGCTAGGCATACTCCGCTACTTTGTAGATCAGGGCTTACCTCTCCTCCTCTGAAAAGACATCCGCCACCATCGCAATAGCCATGGAGGTGAGCACTTGATCACCACCACCGATAGTGCGAAAAAGAGCCGTCATCCAAACCATGCGTAGTGGCAGTACAGTTGACCATGCGGCCACCAACCGTACCCAGAACTCCCCCAGGATGATTCCCAAGGTCCCGAGATACAGCACGGGCTTGCGACCCCAGTGGTCGGCTAACACACCATAAGGAAGCGACAGTAGGATGCTGGGCAGTACATCAAAAGTTTCTTTGTACCCATTGATGAGAGCGAGCTCTCCCTGCACAGCCTCGGATTTACATGGATCGTCCGAGGGAGAATTAAGTAGGCTTGCATTCACGTCATCGCGCGAATTGATGAGATAATTGCGACAAATTATCTGTTCAAAGATAGCTGTCTGCGGCGCTTGTGACAGAAAAAATCCAAAATCGGCCGCGAGAATGAATATGCCGCAGGCAACGAGAATTAGCAATTTCTTCCGGCCATTGTTGCTGTTGCTGTTGCTGTTGTTGGGGGGGTCCGGAGTTCGGGGTTGGCGATAAAAGTGGCGCCGTTTCGTTGGGCGAGGATTGTGCCTCAGTGACCATGTTGGATTTCACAGAACATAGGTGTGACTTGTGAGCCAGGTCGGGAATCGGTGGAATATAAAAAGGGCGAGATTTTGAATGACAGGGAGAAGGGGCATATGGTGTAAGACCGGTTCCAAGGTTGGTCGCAGCCTGATCCTGGCTTATCGAGCCTCTCGGAGCTCAAAGTCAAGCAACTCCGACGTTGAAGCTAACCTACAGTTAGCTAGTTAGCACTTGGGTAAAGTACCCAACCTTAGTACCCGATTTGCTGGCTTCCCATTTCCCCCGAGATAAGGCCCGTGGACTCCAGCTCTTCTCATCATGGGTGGCCTATCCACGTTGATGGTCGACGTGTCTTGACGTGATTTAGGGGCGATCTAGACAGGGGTTTGGCATTCTTTGTTTCCAATGGGGGCGAGAACAATCTCAGCGCGGGGTTCGGCATTTCTTAATGCCAAGTCGAAGTTCCTTCAAAACAAGGAACTCGAAGAAATGATTCATCCCGTCCATGGCGAGTGTTCACTGGCAACTGGCGCTTTCAGTCAAGCCGGCATGCTCAGCCCTGGAGGGTTTAACTTGAAGTTCTAACTTGAAGGTTCAACGGACTCGGACTCCAGGGCTTGGGGGGGGAACTTCCAAGGTTGAAAAGTGGAGAAGGAGAGAGGCTCGGAGAAAGTAGGCGGCGAAAACGAGAGATATATAGATCACATTGACACCGTGGACACTCCACGGCTCTCAATAAAGTACCATGGAAAACATACTAGTAGTACTTAGGCTGCTACCCAGGTACTAGTAGTAATACTAATTAGTATTGCCCAGCATGTAGAACTTTATATTATACGATCTATCACCCTCTGGGGCTTTTGAGCTTACACACCTGGGCATGCAGTAGAAGAGTATATAACCCGATTGACTAAATCCATGGATTAGCCCGGCAATAGTAATACTACATGCTAACTAGTAACTAGTACCTAGGTAGTATATAACTAACCTACCTAAATACTACTACTACTAGTACTTTCACGGATGGATTTGATTGCATGAGCCTTGGATCAAAGACAAGGAAAAACAGCCCTGGAGCTTGTTGATGAAGTACTAGTAGATAAGCCTGAAGATATCTGGATCTCAGCTTGAGATCAATTATGAGCCCTGGAGTCTACATAGCATCCATGCGAGGCAATCACTGTCGCACAGCCTTACATTAACTACCATCCTCTGACTTGGCTATCTGAGTTTGCAATTCTCAGTGTGGTACTCTGTACACCTGGTCAGCTTGTCAAGCATAGATGTGATACCCTACTCTATTTCCAATAGCCCTGCCCCCCCCTTTCCCCCAACACCATATCATACCAGTTCACCCGAGTTAGATCCAGAAAAATCCTCGCTCCCGGCTCCACCTTCCAACGTCCAAATCATCGCCAACGCAGGATGCGGGTGGCCGCACGGCACAGGCGTTTCCCCGGGGCTTTTATCCTGGCCTAGGCGATTTAGTAATGGCCTGGTCCATTCGACAAGGACGGGTCGCGGTGCTTCTCGGGGGTTTCTGCCACGCTCATTGCTTTTCCCTCGTCGTCCGTCACACGAGCTAGAAGGCGCCCACGCTCGGCTCGAGGCAGCCGGGACTCGTGTCGGCTGTCGGAGATGAGGCATTGCTGGTCCGACTGGTTTGTTCTGGAATCCCATGGTGATTGCTGACCCCGGTTCTCACGCCGGCTGCGTACATTGTGTCGGGTGTTGGTGGATCGGTGGCTGATAACGCCCAAATACACGGATTTGGATAGTTGGATGAGACTCGGTGCTCGTTTTTGGGTCTTTGTGGGGATTTTGGGTAAGAGTTCGTCGAAAGCGTCCATTTCCCGTGGTCGTTGTTTGCTTCGCCAGCCGGAAAGTGGGATTGATAGACCTAGCCCGCCAATAAACATGATGCACGTCGGATCGGGTGGAGAGGCTTAGAGTTTGCTTCTTCTGGAAAGGCTCGAGTGACTGGAAAGTGCGAAAGTGCTTTTCAGTTAGCTTCATTTTTTAAATTGGAGAAATGCAAGGCAATCGGGGAATAGACCTCACCAGCTCGGTCGGTCGATCGAAAATCCAATATTGAAACTTTTGGTAGCCAGGGCTCACTCAGAGAGCTCTCCAGTTACTCTAATTTTCCAAGGTGAGACCCGTGGTCATGGTATTCAGTGCGAGTGTGTCTAAGTAGATGGTAGTAGTGAGTTGAAGAGATTGACCAAATGGGAGAAATTTCAAGTTGTTCAGCCTTGGAGGTCACGGTGAATGTTGCCTACTTGCACTGGCAATGGCAGGTGTATTCCAAGGGTTGAAAGTGTAGTAGGTACTGAGTGAGCCCCAGGGCTGGAGACAGGGATACTACCTATATATCGCTTGGACGGCGTACGCAATGGAACAACCTTCAAGTTGGAGACTTCCATAGACCACGCAAAAAAGAATCCTCGAACTTGATGAAGATTGAAATTATGGGGAGTCTCGATAGACTCCAATCATAACTAGCTATTCATCTAATCAATTACAGATCAGCTTCCAGCTTGGAGGCATTATTCGCGGTGACCAGCACCATCCGATCGCAATACACTACCGAGACTTGGAGGTAGGCACTTTCTACACGGTATGGAAGAACATTAAAGCACTGAGTACTGTCACCTCTCTACTCTTACAGAATACTATATGGATTCTGGAATTCTGGAATTCAGCTTCTGCAGAAGAAAACATAAATTGCCGATATCATCTTCAACAGGTTTGCCAGCTTTCCTCACTAGCTACTATCAGTGCCAGTATACTATCCAGCCTGAACAGAGTCCGTACTGACAGTAAACTAGTAGTTCCTGTCTACTAAGCTCTGTCAATGGGCTACCCCCAGCATTGACTACAGAATACTACCCTCCCCATAGTAACAACCTCATTTTGGACATGCAGGGCCTAGACGCAGTGATTCGCGTTGCAGGAGATCACCCAGGGTTCATCCAACGCTACCCCACTGGGGCTGCGCATATATTGAACACGTCCTGTACTTTAAGATCGCGATCAAAAGAGGATTTCGCGTGCAATACTGCGTTACTTCAATAGATATGAAACCATACCGAGTAGCGCGCTGCCGGTCGACCAAAAGAGCACGCGCGATTAACTGCCCTCCAGGGCTTGGAGCAAGGGTAGAATAGTATGATGTCACTTAGATTCTTCTAAAAGATAAGTGGCTAAGAGTCAGGGCTCAGCTAGCCATCCCCCGCGGTTTTTGGCCAAGACAACCTGGGACGTGCTGTGCATGGATCTCCCTCCTACGCCTTGGGTCGGATCTGCTGGGAATGTCTGGCATAATTGATGTGCAGGGTCGATCGCGGCAGACGATCTCAGGGTCGACTTGGGCCATTCGGGGGCCCCGGGGTAGCTCAGATCCCACTAGGCTTCTATTGAAGCGTTGTGCATTGCTGCCCATCCGATTACTGCGCTATTGAGGTGTCTGGCATGCGGATAGGGACCCAGCGCTATGACGTTGCTTGCGTAGTCCTTGTGCTCAGACAACACTCATCGGTATGATCGAAGGGGACTGCTTGGGCCGTCTACCACCCTAATTGCCTGGATAGAATTGAGTATACAATCCGTCTTCCCCCTCCGACGCGACCCTTTGACCCTGGGGTAACACGAGGGCGACAGTGACGAACTCCTAGAACACCAAACGCCAGATAACACTCTACTCAACACGACCCACCTCCCTTGAAACAAATTTACTGGGGAAGCATGTCACGGGAGAGATTCGTAGGGCTCTGCTGGACATTTACTTTCCACTAGGTGTAGTATCCTGGAAACCGGGACCAACGACGCAAGGTGATGGGACGTGCTGTGATGCGAGTCAACATAAGGAATCTAAAAAAGGTACCAACTGATCTACGCAGAGAAAAAGCAATAACTGAACGTTTCTTGTTTTCTAATTTGCTCCTAGTCTTCGCTATGATAATTGCATTTCTGTCTTAGATATCGAGGGAACGGCCGTTGGTGGAAAAAGCAATCTAAGCTGCAAGGGGGTGGAGAACAGGGAAAGAAGGGGGAGGCGGGCCATCAAAGCCTCAGGAACTGTTCTCTCGAATGGGCCCTTTGCATTGGCTCACATAACTATTGATGTGGGCTGCATCACCTCTTTGTCAGTATCTTTCTTCTCATAGGACGGCGATTTCAACCGGGCCGAGCAAATCATACCATATGCCGAGAAACCGGGAACTGAACGAAATATCAGATATACATCCTGGCAGAGAGGATTCAAGACTATTAATTATTTCTCTCCTGTCACTTTAATGAGATGCCACCCTGGCCTAGAGCCACTGGTGAATTATGTGATTTATTTTTGAAAGGCTGGTAGGAGCTCGCTCGATTTTCTCCGAAGCGCTAGTGTGCCGGCCGCTTCTCATATATCAGCGATCTAATGATTGCCATTGAGATTCAGGTATCCGAGCAAATACCAGGCCATGAGAAAACCTAATTAGAGGACTATTGGAAGTATGCACTTCCAAGGTTATCGCTGGAGCGAGATACGTTGATACAAGGTAAAGCCACAGAACGCCCGATGGCGCCCAACTCTTTGAACATGAGCAGCCGTTGCTGCACAAAGAAAATTAAACACGGAGATACTTACTACTTGCCTCGTATTTGTGCAAGCGAATGGAGTGAGAAGATACCGAGGAATGTTTCGACTCACTTTAAAGTCACAAATGCTAGCACGTAATTGATCAATATCATAGTATGCTGGAATGGGTAGGGTTCTCTTTGGTTCATCTGTGTGAATTGACCATTCTATTTCCCCCGCAAAGCTTGGAAACGATCGACCGCTTGTACCTCGCCTGTGCGCAGAGTTGAGAGATCTGCATATTTCTGGGTGACCTGAGACCGGACTTCTGACTCGTCAACTATGATTGGGAGCTCATATCCTCGGCTTTGGGAGTGACAGGGGTCTGAGAAAGATCGAAAATCAATAGTGCCAATCGCGAGGCCCGGGTACCTGGTACCAACCGTGATAATCGTGCTAATGCATGTCCAGATGCTGGAGGGTAGATTAGGTTTTACGTGAAGGGGGATGTCCGGGTGTTCCTGGTCAACAATTACCTTAGCGTTTAGACTGGGTTCCAATTTTATGATGGCCGAATGAAAGGCGATTTGTGCCTGAGCATCGAATATGAACAATCGTGGACCATGCAATGGATCAAAGCGTTGTATTTTGGATGTTTTTAAGCAAAATTCAGAATGATCAAGCGGGCTTAGTACACTCAGCCCATTCCAGCCCCTGAATACACCACGAGCGCTCGTGAGGTTGGTGGACCAAACCCCAATCACAAGCGGTGGCAATTAGTTGAACGTGAAGGTTTGCCGACGTAATGACGAGGCAAGCACAGACGGCCGAGAGGTATGTACGAAATTTGGATGCCTCGATGTCATGGTCAGCCACACTGGCCTTAGCTCATTGCCACCAAGCCTCTGGTGGCGTCTCAAGTCAGTTTGGCTTGGCTGAGGAGGCTTCCCCGAATGGCATGACTCGATGTGACAATGGAGCTCAGATTCACAAGACACTATTCAAACTCTCTCCCCGCGAACCAAATAAATATGTGGTGGCCTCAGCACCGCTGGGCGTGAGTCAAAATGTTGGGAATTTGCCCTCCCAGTCGATCAATGGAGTGTCTCGAACCCTTTTGCTAACAATAATTGCTGTAGTGGACCATCACTTCCAAGTTTTTGGCAAACCGAAGAACAAAATGAGCGTCTTGGCAGATTAAGATAACCGATAGAGGCCAAGAAGGAAAGCAAGTCATCCCTTGAGATGCAGGGGGGAGGGCTCCCGCAATGTCTGGGGACACTCTGGCTTCCTCCTGGCCCTTGCGGCCAATTCAGGTCTGTGCTGGGATAACTTTGCGCGAGCTAAAGCAGAGCGCAGAAAATGTGATTAAACTCAGTAGGGCGTAATTGAGGCTACAAGAAAACTTCTCCAAAGGATGGAGAGAGTTTCAGATGATCCAGCGCCAGAATGCCGGGTAAACGGCGTAAAAAAGGAATGACCGCGAGTGGCCTGGCTATGTATTCAAGGCTGAGACTAAACTTGGACCGAACTCGACGGCAATTGGATGGTCGGAAACCAGTAACCCATAAACTTGGGACGGGGAAACAAAGTACAATAGTCCCGGTGGTTATTGCAGGATGACATATCTCATATCTGCTGATGTCGATCATTCTTTCTCGGTGGCCAAAAAGTATCCTGAAACTAGCCTGCATGAAACATGGGCTTATTGTTGCTTGTCTGCTGCCCTGAAGGACGTAAAGTAGTATTCTTGAGTGGGGGTTTCGCTCGATGAAGCCAGAGGGAGAGATTGGGAGTCAAATCTGACACTCGATAAGATCGACAACCAACGACATGGATCGACGATGCCGGTGCGAAAAGTGGAACGGGTGGAACCAGCCTCAACAGATGGGATCCAGTTGATGGTCATCCGAGCACCCCGGGATTGGGGTTAAAGGTATCGATAAAGCAATGGTTCATCTGCATTGTTTACCACCACCGCCGACGTGGGCCCACGTCCGTGGTTACCTGACTGAATATTTTCCCATGAAGACCAAGAAAATGATAGCTCCTTTGTGGCGCAGCCTCAGAGGAGCATTAGAGTTCTGCTCTCATTGAACTGTCGTCGCGTATCAGCGCGCGGCGCTTAGACCCGGTGCGAGCTGTCAGAAGCGGCGCTGCCGAAAATTCCGGAGTTGCTTTACGTAGCTTTCCCGAGTACGATACTCGGTTCTACTTCGAGACGTGCTGGGACCTAGTCGTCCATAGGGTCTTTAGCCCACCAAGCGCTGTCAAAGTTTACTCAGGAGAGATTGCACGGCCTCTGTCTCATCGACCCACCGGATGTTCAGCGCACATCCATTCGCAATGTGA